GCTGTCACCAATGCTTCGATAACGCTTTCACTTGCAATTAAATCAATCATTATGCAATCCGTTTTGCACATTTGTTGCTATTGTTAGGGTCAAACTCAGTCTACTCTCTAGTCACACACGTATCTATTAATTAATTAATTAAATCATTATACTGCAATTAAATGCAAGACATGCACAATCTACTCACACACACACACATACACTCACATTCGCTTTCAAGGACGATTTCGGAGAAAAGAAACCTATTGCATTCACATAATCCTCCTTCGCTTGCTGTCGCCCTTCTACGGTGGACTGTTAAATAACTACTCGATTGTTGATTAATTTTGCTACTATCCCTTCTAAGCCATATTTAAAGCTGATTTTGTTGTTGTTGTGCGTGTGCGTTTGTGGGCAAAAACAATATCTATTTGTTGTTGTTCTTGGCTCACTTTTGCGGTTTATATCATCGTCGCACACACATTAATCAACTCATCGTTTAAACACCATTAAGAGTGTTGTTGCAATGGTTGTTGCTGTCACATTTGCTGCTACCGTTTTGTTGCTTAATTAAATGCTTCGCCTGACCGTCTACCTCTACATATACTCGTATATGTGCTTATATTCATATGATTGTGTGTATACATGCACACTCGTATACATGTGTCTGTTTGTCTGCTTGCGTTGATTTTAATCCTTAAATATGGCAATAAATTATCGAAGTCGGACGAATTTCAATAAGCATAATTAACTTTAAAGGTGGCACAAATTATTACCTACTAAGTTTTGCGTATGTTTGTATGTGTTGTGACGTGCTGCATGTGTAATGTATATATGTACACATAATCAAATATTTATATAAGTGGCACAGATGTCTGTTGATTGAAAACCACATTCGCTTGATTGCAGACTCTATTACATTTACGTATATATGTGTGTTCACTTGATGTGTAAATATGCATGTAAGAGTTTGATTAAAAATAATTATATATAATTGGCATTTTGTAACCGCTGAAGTGATTTTCGGACGAGCTCCTGCTCCAATTTGTGATTTTTTTGTCTTGATATTCTTCCAAAAAAATGGAGAGACCTACAGTTTATACTAACCCGCCGCCGAACGGCTGATGGTTTTTTTATGGGGAGCCTTTCTTTCAAATCAGAAAAATGCTCGGTGGGGTTGACATTCCCTGCCGAGGGGCAACAGAAAGAAAATCATTTTACATTGTCTTGAAAGAACGAGTGTATCCGAGTCCGTCATAGAAGTACTTACGTCATTTCGAGTATGACGCACTAGCGTCACACTACATATACTACGTGTATCGTAGATTTATTTTCTCACCTGATGACCTTAGTTTCTTGCATTAAAACAATTTCACTATTTATGTAATATACTAGTGGTATATGGATTGCATATTCAAATTGGACGAAGGTGAAACTCAATCAAGAGTAATTAGCTAATCTGATCAAGCGATTAGCAATTACAGATTTAATATTTAATTCCCTTATTATATTATTAACCAATAAACCTGCATAATATACGTCGCAAACACTCATCATTAAAGTAGATTCTACACTAATAAACAATAGATTATATAATATTAATAATATTATACCTCCAATTGCAGCACAAGGACGTATGTGGTTGTATGCATTGCTTCATATATTTATTAGTCTGGTAATCATAACTATTTTTATTTGGTGTACCCTTGTCCTTTTTCAAATGTAATGATTTATTCCTTGTAAAAAAAAATACAAAAAAATAATAAGGGAAATGTAATGGATCGTGCCTAGGAGCGATATAATAAATATTTGCTCAGTAATATTAAGCATGTTGAAAATGAAATTTTTCTGTAATTAGTGAAAATCCCCAAGGATTGACGAAATGCTAATTATACTCATCTTGATTCTTACGCTATTATTATTATAATTTATACCTTCAGCTCCAAATATACATTAGTTAGAATATTTTGAGTTTTTGCCCTGTCATATTGCTTTTTATTTTATTTACAATTTAAATTAATTCTTAACTTTACAAAATTTTTAATATAATTAAATTAAAAGTTTTTCATTTTATATTATATTTGTTTAATACAATTAGGCCTTGCTTTGTTTTTTAATATTAAATTTAATTTAATCTGCATTATATTTGGTTGTGTTTTGCTTAATATACTTATTGAAGTTATTTAATTTAATTTATATTGTTTTATTTTATATATTCTTATGTTATTTAACTCAATTTCATTTTATATTATTTTATTTTTTTTTTGTTATTTTATTTAATTTATTTTACTTTATTTTCAAATTTTTAATTTCTTAACTCTTTATATATTGTTTTATATTTTAATCCATTTGATTTTATTTATATATTTTTAATTTTATTTTTTTTTATATTTTTTTCTTGGAAACTATTTTATTTTATTTATTTTTTTTTAATTCTTATAGTTTTATTTCGATTTTATTTTATTTTGTTATTTGATTTTAATTCATTTTACTTTATTTTAATAATTAATTTTTTTTAAAACTATTTCATTTTATTTTATAATTTCTTATTTCTTTACTTCATTTTATATTGCTTTATATTTTAATCCATTTAATTTTATTTATATATTTTTAATTTTATTTTTTATTTTCTTTTCTTCGAAACTATTTTGTTTTAATTTAAGTTATTTTATCTTATATATTCATATTTTATTTAACTTAATTACATATTGTCGTAGTTTATTTTATTTTATTTTATTTTATTGTATTATATTATTATTTCACTTAATTTTTCTTACTGTATTATTTTATTTTATTTTAAATAACTTTATTTTACTTTAACAAATTATTTTTTTTAAATCAATTTAATTTTTTTTAACTTCTTATTTCTTTTCTTCATTTTATATTGCTTTAAATTTTTATCCATTTTATTTTATTTATACTTAATTTTATTTATTTTATTTTCTTTTCTTGGAAATTATTTTATTTTATATATTAATTTTATTAATATTATTTTATTTTACTTTATATGAAATAATATAATAGTTTTACTTTGATCTTATTTTATTTTGTTATTTTATTTTATTCTAATATTTAATTTTTTTTCAATTTTTCCCACTTTATTTTATAATCTTTTTTTACTTGTTTTTTATATTGTTTAACATTTTAATCCGTTTTATTTTATATTATTTTTTTATTTTTATTTTATTTTATCTTATTTAATTTAATATAATTTAATTATATTTTAGTTTATAATTTTGCTTTGTTTAACTTTACATCTTTTTGTGCGCAAACTTATTCCTCAGTTTTTGAATAAAACTTGGTAATCAGATGTATTGAACACTGTGGTATTTATTTGTTCATTAAATTAGAACATTTTCTGTAGTAAATTCACAGTAAGAATTATCGGATTATTGTCAAAAATGTTCAATAAATTAATGTCGCTCTCATAGAAACTCTTATTCCAAAGAGCAAGAAGCGCTTTTCGCACTCTTCACTTGAGTACAATTTGTATCAGCTGTATCATTCGCCATGAACAGAAACGGGTGATAATCACTTGATTTGAGGTACGGACTGTTGCGTGGATGAGCTCAAACGAGCTCTCGCAACTTCTGGCGAGTCACGATCGACGGACGTTTTTCTGATGAAACACAATTCTTCACCTGTTGACCAAAGCTGTGCGCTTCTGGGCAAATTCTTTCTTCATGTGGTCCAATTGCTGACACTATAGGGCCAATGTTGGAGTTTGGCCATATACACAACAAAACTTTCTTGGCTGTCAATTCAGGATAATAGACAGTTTGTGAAGTCTCACAGCCCTTCGAGTACGACCGTTTTCGTTTGACGTTGTTGTAATTTTTCGGCTTTTCAACGCTATTCACCTATTGTTTCAGAAATAGGTGAATTTCATTACAATTTAACAACGATTCACACACTCAAATTCGAATTTTGAGGGCATTTCTCATTAACTCATTTGACACCCATACATCGAAAGTCTTTGTGTGTCCAGCCTTTTTCAAGTACTTCCAAATTGTTGTTGTTGGCATTGAATCAACAATATCACGCCATTTATCCTTTCATTTCGCTATTTGACATAAGTTTGAAATGCTCTCCATCTGATCCTTTCAACGGAGCGGACTTGTTCCTCTTCCTCTGCTTCCACCCACGGCTATTGCTTCAAAGCTGGAGTGCTATCATCCATACGGGCAAGATGACTGAGCCTGCATAGCCGCTGTCATTCGCTTCTACATCAATGTCAGCGTATAACTCGTACAGCTCATCGTTCCATCTTTCGTGTTGCCAATGCGATTTATGGTCCAATCATTCGCAATATTTTTCTCTCCATGACTCACAAGGCCGACTCAACAGATGCCGACATCGTCCACGCCGTTGCATAATATATCACGACGGGAACGGTGATCGAGTTATAGAGTTTGATTTTTGTTTGTCTAGAGAGAGCTGTTGGCAAGAGTGATTCTATGTAGGAATTCAAGGCTGACTTTGTTTCTAAGATGAACGAAGTTATCGACGACTACAAAGTTATGAGTGTCAACAATTACGTGTTTGTGGAGGAGCGCATGCGATGCCTGTTTTTTGATGTTAATGAGGAAATATTTCGTTTTATCCTCGTTCAATACCAGGCTGTCAGTGAGCTTCTTTATCCAATCTCGTATAATTAGAACTCACAGAGCTTATGCCTTGGTTGTTGAAGCTAATGATCTTAATATTATAAGCTTACACCATCAGCTATACACCCTTATACAGCTCAACAGCTCTTGTTATTCTCTCCAGCATCAAATTGAAGAAATCAGACGACAAGGAGTCACACGCTGTCAGAAACATGGTTTGGTGCTCAACTTTTGAAATATCGAAAAACAAAAATTTTTTGAAAATGCTATACCACCAGGACCGGACCTCTTAATATTATTTTTTGGCCTCGGACGATTCAAATTGAATCGTTCGAAATATTTATGTTCTTATTATAAATTTACTAATATCTAATCACTCATATGCACGCATATCTTTCTTTTTTCTTTCTACAGTGGACTTATATCTAAAAACTTGTTATCAACGATTTATGTGGCTGAAGCAAAGGATCAATGTGAAAAAGGTGAGAACAATATGAGTTTAACACTGGCGTTACTTAGCGAAACTTGCTTTTATTGCAATTCTAGAAAATCATACATTTCGGCCCACTGAAAATATCTAACTCCCATACAATCGTTCCGAATAGTTTAATAGTATATGAAAACCTTTAGTTTTTCCCTTTACGACTTTTCTCAATTCCATGTGCTAAATGAGCCATTTATTCGGCTCACACTATAACACCATTCAACCTTTCGAAAACAAAAACTTTACTCATTATGCGCTAAGAAGATCAACTACATACATTTGAATGTAGAAATGTGCGTATAAATGCAGAGAAGGAAATAAAGTAAAGGTATGAATCGAAATGGCAATTGACTTTAGCAAAAACTTTTATTGAAATTCCAGTGTAATTTTTCCAACTCTCTTTTTCGGTCAAAGTAGACTTAAGTGTTTCAATAAGGACAGCTTTGTTGAGTGTTTGCTTCCGTCTTTTCGCAAAGGATACTGATAACATTTCGACGAATCAAGAATCTACTTACAAGTATGCATTAGTAAATAGTGTTTGTTTGTATGCTCGAGTATGTACTTATATAAATGAAATGCTGTGCTTGCACGATTTTTATACCTTGCCACAGTGTTGATTTTAATTACACCGCAAATTGCACACCTTGTCTGTTGGTTTTCCTTTGGTTTTAGTTTTCGTTTCTCTTTTTTTTTTTTTTTTTTTTTTTTTTTTTTTTTTTTTTTTTTTTTTTTTTTTTTTTTTTTTTTTTTTTTTTTGAAATATTGACATTTATCCTGTAGGTAAAAGTGACGAAAAAAAGTGGCGAGTGATGGGAAAAGTTTTAACTGGTCATGTGTCAGTCAATAAGCATTTCAAATCTGTATACATACAAGCGTGTATGTGTGCAAATGAAGGAATAAGTGATAGTTTTTATATGTGAGTAGTTTTATTGTTTTTGTACCTTTTGATTGCCGATTCTGCGTGTGCGCGCTGTGTGATAAAGGAGTTAATAAATTTGCAAAAACAAAAAGCCAAATAAATAACAATTCAAATCTAAAAGTTTTACCGTAAAAAGGTGTTATAATTGTGAATTGCGAACAAATGAATTTTATGCACGTATGGTAGGTATTTTTATAGTGTACACAGTAGTGAAATGCATAAATACAGGGTTATCCATTTTGCGTTTTCGAAAATAAACTTAAGTAAAATGCATTGCAAATAGAATTTCTCTCATGAAATTTAAGTTTTAAACTTGGCATTTTCAGCGAAACATTACACCAGTCTAATGATTCACAAACTTCACTTCGTTTGAGGTGGTATTTGTTGACTTTGTTAGCAGATATTGGACGGTATCTCTGCCAAGACTTGACGAATGTTGGTTTTCCAGCGCTTCAAACTAAAGATTTATCCTCACAAACAGGGTATTTCGCTTAGCCCTGCACAAAAAAAAAAACAAAAAAAAACATCAGTGTCAATTCCACAATCTCGATGACCAATTGACATCGCCAAGACGAGAGATTATACTTGGTGAAATTGCGCAAGCAATAAAGCCACACACTCTCTTGTCGTGTGGCATTTGGCACCATCAGGCTGAAAAAAAGTCAGTCATCATACGACCATAACGTTCCGATAGATAGTAACAATCTCGCGGCTGTCGTTTTCAAAGTAGTATTGTCCAATTACACTTTCCAGGTCGAAAAAAAAACCACCAGACAGGAAGTTTGTTTTGGGTGTAATGGATCAGCATTCGAACCATTGGTTCTTTGATGGTAAAATGCGCTGCTTGCTGTTGAACCATTATTATTCACTGCTAGGTACTTGCAGTTTGCTTAGTTTCTTAAGAGTGTCTCTAAAGGGTTTCTGAGGAGGTTCATATTGCAATTGGTCATTTTTGGCAAGGAATCATCTACTACGAGCTGCCCCCTATCGCCAAACGCTCAATTTGGCCCTCTACTGTCAACAAATGGACCGCTTGAAGGCAGCACTCATCAAGAAGAGGCCATCTTTGATTTGACATAGGCCGAACTGTGTTCAATCAGGACAACGACAGGCCACGCACGTATTTGGTGACGCGCCAGAAGCTCCAGGAGCTCGGATGGGAGGTCCTAATGCACCCAACTTATAGTCCGGACCAAGTATAGTTCGCACCAAGTGATTACCATTTTTTTCTGCCTATGGCGAACGCGCTTAATGGTGAGAAGTTGGCCTCCAGAGAGACCTCACTCACTTAGGGGATATGTAAATAAGCAAATTTATCATAATTGTGGTTCCCGGAATTCTCAAATAATTGAAAAGGTCCCATTTCGGCTAAAAGAAATTATAATCTGGAGCGCTCATTGGTCCGGAGCTGTGATTGAACCTTACTTTCATTTTATTTAAATTTATTTCTGAAACGGAAAAATGAATAACCTTTTATGTTTTATTATTCAAATTCAACCTTAACCTGTTTTCATAACTTTATACCGAGAGAAAGCAATCACCTTCACAAGCAGACATACTATGTTTACGAATATATATTAATACAGTGAATGAAGAAATAAATAAAGAAATAAAGCAGACAGTAGCTAGCGATATTGAAAAAAATTTATCCAGCGCTCAGCTGACAGCGCAACCACAATAATCAGTCATCTCCAATGACAGCAGGTAGAAAATCAAGGATTACCATGAAAATGTAATAATACAAAAAAAAAAAACTAAAATAAAAAATAAAAATAAAATAAAATTTTGCAAATAACTCAAAAATACCAACCTGCTTACATATTTTTAGATTAATATTTAATAAGAAATTGGCATAATATTATATATATTATTATACAACAAAAATTCCAGTTGAATTTCATGCTAAAATTTTTGGTCTGACTGAGCCGCTAATAGTATTGAAAATGCGGCCTTGGCCAAAAGTATTAGGCATCCCACTAACTTAATGAATTTTTTGTTTTAGTAAGTAAAGTAATGAAGTTTTATTAGTAAAACAGTGAAAATACAATGAATTGGTGATAATAACATTAATATTTCGTAGGTAAGCCCCTTTTGATTTAATAACGGCAACAATTCTCTTAGGCATGCTGCGTACAAACTTTGCACATTCGTCCGCACTTATAGCGTACCACTCGTTAATTAAGGCATTCTTCAAGGCAGTTTTTGATGTTATACTGTGTTCCTTAATTTTGCGTTTTAAAATAGCCCACATATGCTCATTGGCATTAAGGTCTGAAAACTGTGCAGGCCAATCCAACAAAACAATGTTGCTATCCCTAAACCAACGCATCGTAGTCACTAATTTGTGACAAAGAGCATTGTCTTGCTGAAACGCAAACGAACATTTCGCCGACACCATCAGCAGCGATGCAGCCCCAGATCATAATGCTGCCTCCTCCATACTTAACAATGGGTACCACGCAATCTGGATGATATTCTTCACGAACGACACACCAGGTGTTCCAATTATCTGTAGAAAAGAAAAAAATATGTTTCCATAAGATTTGTATTATGTCTTCAAAATTACTCTATGGTAGGAAGCTATGGATTTTAATACTTTAAGACTATTTTAACTAAGCTTCCCTCGAAGTTTGATTCATCAGACCACAGAACATTCGACCAATCTTCTTCTGTGACATGCTGGTACAGGCGAGCCCATTTCAAACGATTTTTTCTACTCTTTTCTGAAAGCCACGGCCACTTTCGGGCTTTACCTTCTTTTAAACCTGCTTCGAAAGGACTTTTTCTAAATGTTCGAGCACTAACTTGTTTATCAAATTCATCCGAAAGGTCAGGTGAGAGACTCGCGTATGAGTATTCGGTCTTCTCGTTTACTGGTTAGACGCTTTCTTCCACTTTTTGGTTTATTATTGTGGGATTTCGTCTCCACAAATCGCCTGATAGCACATTGGACCGCGCGCCGCGAACATCCCACCAAATTGGCAATCTCAGCCTGATACTTATTGTACCTTCTTCACTTAGAACTCGATTTATAACTCTATCATCGTATTTAAATTCACTTTTTTTAGGGATTTCGGTAGATATGAACTGTTTTTATAAGATTGATAACTTTTCACTAAAAGTAATTTATACTTTCACTTTCAAATTTAAAACGCGAAAATATTTTATGAATTTCTTAAAAATGACACTTTTTAGGTTTAGCTTACTCAGAAGTGGTAACTTTGATAGCCACATTTGAGAGCACTTGTAGTTTAGTGGGATGCCTAATACTTTTGGCCAAGACTGTATGGCCTTTTGAAAGCTCCTTACCCAACCAACTGTCATTTAAAAATACTTTTTTGACTCCCAGTCACTTAATGATAATATTTTATGCCAGTAAATTACCTGTGGGTCGCTAAAGTACAATCGAACTGCCGCCTTTTGTATGAGCACCAAAAAAGCTCAACTCTTCATATGTCCTTAGAGCTTACGATTTTTGTAAGTCTTCTTTTAGGCGCTTAGCATGATGTTATTATCCGTATTTTTCATCAAACATAATTACGAATGTAAGCACTGCTGTGTAAGTATGTTGTCCTAACATTTCAATACAATGTTTACTTTGATATTAAGCGACAATTAGCTCATTCACTGTTTGCTTTTGCTGTTTTCCTTGGTTACTAATGAGCATAACTTTGTAGTAGATATGTACATAGATGTATATGTACAAAAGTATAGATGTCTATTCGCTATGCAAATAGAACAAGACACGCGTCGGTTAATGAGTATTATGATTGTTGGCTTTGTTTTTTTTTTTTTTTTTTTTTTTTTTTTTTTTTTTTTTTTTTTTTGACGGCAATAACGGTATGTGTGTTGGTATGTATATAGATTTGCAGGGCTTTGTTTAAACCCATGCAGACAAAGAAATTTTCTTATTACTTAATGTAAAGCCTTTTTGCTTTTAATTCAGTGTTCGCACTCCTTTTGGGTATCTCATTTTGATATCAACTTACACTACCTTCCCCACTCTTGACGCCTCCTTTTTGTCTCACGGTGGTTTACTAATTGGCATTTGAAGAATTTCCAGTTGTCAAGTTGATTAT